ATCGAACTCGGGTCATCGGTTTCATAGCGCAGCGCGCTAACCGCTACACTTCTGCTCCACGCACGCACGCACTCGCACCCACGCACACACGCACACACACACGCCGATACAATGCACGCATTATGTTGAAACACGCGGGCGAACACTATCTCGTCAGATGCCAGTAAGCTAAGCAGTCCCCTGAACCTGGATAGTGCTTGGAAGGGTTGACACCACCATCATCACCATCATCACCGCCATCACTATCACTCCTTGGCCGGGTGTGTGTGAAAATGAACCGCGGTGGTTGCTGCCTTTCTGCTGCTGCTGCTGACCTTTGGACATCCTGGGCCCTGCCACCGACACGTGGAAAACCCACACCCGTCACAGTGCAACAGTTGTGCAGTCCTCTCTGAAGTTAAGACTCCTCGCCCACAGACCCGGTGTTACATTCGTGAAGGAAATTGGTGACGGAAATATTCATGTGCGTCTGTGTTTTTTTTTATATTTTAGTCACGGATGACGAGTGACCGAAAATTACCGCCCGTGATGATGACCACGACTACCCATCGTCATCACCACCACCCACATCAACATCACGACTACCACAATCATGATCATCACCACCACCACCAAATAAACAACAAAGATCCCCCGTATAGCCTTAACAGACTGTAGGGGCAAGTGCTGTTGGCGAGAAACTTTGAAGACCGGCACGGCGCACGAGGGGGTGGGAGGCCAGGACCACGCCCGACCGCCTTTGTCTTTTTAGTGGCGATGTTTACACACCGCACCAGGCACTCATTTGAGGCTGAGTCGACCTAGGGGAGGCCCAGAACGGGTTAAAATAATCGTCACCGGTGTTGGCCATGAGCAGCATGCTAACCGCTACACTACCGCTCCCCACTAATCAACCACACACCCCTACAACCACACACCGGCTCAAATAATCGTCACTGGTGTTGGCCGTGAGTAGGAATCGAACTCGGGTCGCCAGGTTCGTAGCGCAGCGCGCTAACCGCTGCACCACCGCTCCCCACAATCACCATCACCACTACTATCGTCACCAGCATCACCAATATCAACATCGTCAACACCACAATCATCAACCACCACCTCTATCATCAGCATCATCTACCCACCAAGGATTTAAACAACGACCGCCAGCGACGAGAACGAACACATTCCTGCGGAGGGAGCTGGTAGGAACGTTGGGTTGCTCGGTCAATGGCCAGGGTCAACGCCGGCACCACGTGGTGTATTCCGCAAATATGCCCGACTGTGAGGGCGGGCGTGAATAGGTTAAAAGTTGAGTTTTATAAGGGCACCACGGGGTGACCAGCCCCGCCCCACCTAGCCCCACCCCTCCCACCTAGCCCCACCCCTCCCACCTAGCCCCACCCCTCCCACCTAGCCCCACCCCTCCCACCTAGCCCCACCCCCCCACCTAGAAACGCGTTTACAAGTTCAGACCCAGCGGGCTTCACCTCAACATCTGAACGCCGCCTCGCAGCTACGAAGGAAAATGCAACGGGCAGTCTTTATTTGCGTGTAACGCCAACCACGCGCCCATTGCGTTGGTGCGTTCACTTTCCCATCCAGCGGTGGGTCGACGAGCGGACTTTGCCCGCGCGTGTGCCACCCTGCACGCCCGTGTGACGCGACGTGCGAACTGCCACCACACCTACGGGGGGTTGGGGGGGGGGCATATATTATTGTTTTGCTAACAGTATGTTTATTTTATTCCAATAAGGAATTTTGTTGCACACACACGCACGCACAACTTATTTTCACGGTTTTGTTATGGCTGTAGATTGTTTTCATTACGACAAAACGCATGCCCGATGTAACACGCTCAAGCATTCCGCTGACGGGGTGCAGAAAATCAGCGGTAATCTATTCCCACGCAGATATATATGTTGAACTTCTTTCGCGCCGTACGTAGCCAACCGTGCCAATAAGATGTGCGGGGAAGGACAAATGCAGGTCACTCGCATGCGTGTGCTCGCTTACCCCACTCCCTGGCCACACTACCACAGGTTACGGCAACGCACACACACTCACTAACCCACTTGCTCACCCACACACTCACTCACATAGCCACTCACCACACTTGCACGTCACAACAATACACTCACGCACCCAGCTGTGGAATTTTGGCCATGTGTGCCCTGGGCTCAGTAACCGTGAAATAAAATAACGCATTAATCAGTGGTGATAAGGTGTTGATGGAGGAGGTGGTGGTGATTGTAATTGGGGAGAGTGGTGGTGGTAGGTGGTGATGTGGTTGTGGTGATTGTAAATACGGCGGCGGTGGTGGTGGTGGTGGTGGTGAAGTAGGGTGCAGGTAAGTCGCATGTTTGATGGGTGGAAGTGGTGGAGTGCAGTGGGGGGGGGGGGGTGACTGATTACAGGTGAGCTACACAGGTGTGTTCCAGGTAACTCACATGTCCCTACAGGTGTTCTACTGCCAGACTCCGGAATGCGTGGCATCATTGCCGCCGTTCATCATTTATAATCACCTCGATGTGCCCCGTTGTTCCGATGAGTCACATGGAAGCATTTAAAGGCCAGCACGTGGGCGGCGTGGGCGCGGTCGGAATCCTTTGAGCAGCAAGCAGATCGCCCCGGTTAACTGTGCAAAACATTCCGCCCAATGTTGACGTAACGTTGGGAAGCAACGTTGGCCCAACGGTTTCCAACCAACGTTGGCTGGGATGTATTTACGAAGCAACGGACGCTTGCATTTCAGCCGCGGCGGTCCGGGGACGTCCTTACGCCCTTGGTTTTTTGGTCACGTCACATCCACCCCATGAAACATGGGATGGATGCGAACCATCGACCACGCAAATTCCGAACCAAAGGCTGTGGCGGGCCGCCGCCGCGTTCGACGCGCGGCGCTTTCAGGTGCCCGCCTTCGGCCGTCTGGGACGCTCCTCCTAGATGGGGAAAAAAAAACATTTCTTTAGAGCCGCTTTTTGCGTTGATTTTGTTGTCCTTCCCCCCGCACCTCCGATTAGCCACGGGTGGCTACGTACGGTGCGAAAGAAGTGCAAAAACATAGGTACATCTTGCCAAAATTGTGTTATGATACTGATGATGCCTTGTTCATAGGATTACTCCGGTAAACTTTACTCACAATAGTCATGTTAATTCGAAATGGGTGTCTCTCTCTCTCTCTCTCTGTGGTCGCGTGAATTTTTCCACCGGCTCCTCGGATTTTTCCCTCCCATATTTTGGAATCAACAACGCCCCTTCAGGGTATTTGGCTGCTAGACAATCGCACTTGATGACAATAATAAGCCCACTTCGTTGAGCTGGCATTTGTGTGGTGGCCATGTCGCTTCTGATAAAGAGCTACGTCGCTCAGTTGGGCATTTATCTGGCAAAAAAAAACATATATACATATATATTTTATTGTTTCCCTTCAACGTAACTTTACCGAAAGAACCAAGAATACGAATCACTGCAGTCACGAAAGCTTTAAATCAAAATTTATATATACATAGTTTGTTAGCTTATAAATTATGTCACGCACCTAGGGGGGGAGGGGAGGTCAGACATTTGTGACAATGTGTGACGAAGGGGGGGGGGGGGGTGGTTGAGAAATGTGACGTCACATCAAAATGCGCAACTTTAAATAGATATAGACAACACGTTCTACTTAATTAAATAGACTTTTTTTTAATAAATGTGTTCTCCTACAACATCAGAGTGCAGCGGCACATTAAATACGCACTACAATGACAATAGTTTAAAGCGATTTGAAGCATGTTTTATTTGGGCCGAAGGGGCAGAGCTTTGTGACGTCATATCTGAGGGGGGAGGGGGGTCTGACTTTTTGTGACAATGGGGGGGGGGGTCAAAAAATCATCCAAAATCGCGTGACGTCATTTATGGACGGCGACCTTAGAAAACGTAGCTGCAGAAAAAGTACCAAATCATTTGTCCTCGTCATAATCATTGCGGGCGGGCGATGCTTGTAACGCGATTTGTCCTGCAGAGGGCAGTGTAGCCACAACTATGCCAAACTGCGGCTCGAAATCCGCATGCGACTCTTTAAAATGTATTTGTTGCTTCGGGACGTTATTTGATTCAGGAGCGAACGCGTCTCATATAGTCACCACATTGCTTTTGCGGCTCTTGAAATAGTTACTGTCCGCGATGTCCATTGCTAATGCTTTGCGGTGCGACAAGTAATCCAGCACCCTACCCACGTGGATTACACCCCGACGCCTGTATTTTTAAATCGCGTTTTTGAAAAAAAAAACCCCTCCCTCCTCTCTCCACGCGCAACAGCTGGGCGCTCGGGCTCCCGTAGAGAAGGCGGAAGGGGCGGCGTGACACGTGGAGGCGAGCAGTTCATCAGGAAGTAGCAGCAGAAATATAATCATCAGCAGAAGTATAATAATCGTCATTAGCAGAAGAAGTATAATCAGCAGAAGTATAATCATCGTCATCAGCAGCAGAAGTATAATCAGCAGAAGTATAATCGTCATCAGCAGAAATATAATAATCATCAGCAGCAGAAGTATAATCAGCAGCAGAAGTATAATCAGCAGCAGTCTTATAAGTATCATCATTAGTCTTATAAGTATCATTAACATACCGGCCAACCAATACAGGTTACCTAGTATACCGCGTACAGCCGTTTCAATTCGGGCAAAAACATGCTTTTGTCAATTTGTTTGTATTTCTCCCTTGTGATGGGACTTTGTAGGGTGAACGTTGAGATTTATAAGCAAGAGTAAAAGCAATAGCGGCAGCTGTGTAATAGATAACAGCGGATACAGCAGAATCAACATCCTCATCGGCAGGCTCAGTATCAGCATCATCAGCAGCAGCATCAACATCAAAAGCAGCATCAACATCAAAAGCAGCAACATCAGCAGCAGCATCAACATCAGAAGCAGCAGCATCAACATCAAAAGCAGCAGCATCAACATCAAAAGCAGCAGCATCAACATCAGAAGCAGCAGCATCAACATCAGAAGCAACAGCAGCATCAACATCAGAAGCAGCATCATCGCCAGCAGCACCATCAACATCAGCACCACCAGCAGCAACATCAGCACCACCAGCAGCAGCATCATCAGCAGGTGGTAGCGGTGCAGGATTCGCTGCTCTCCATCGCTCGGCATGGAAGGGGGGGTTCTCCTTCTGGCGGTGCTGCTGGCGCTGCTGCTGCTGCTGGCGGTGTTGGTGGCCGTGGTTCGTGGCGGGTCCCGAGTGGCCGTGGGCCCCGGGGCCCTCCCCGTGTGCGTGCTCGTGCTGGGGGACGTGGGCCGGAGCCCCCGCATGACCTACCACGCGCTCTCCCTAGCAGACCACGGGTTCCAGGTTCGACTCCTCGGCTACAGAGGTGACGACGCAGGGGGGCGGGGGTGGGGGTGTACCGAATTAAAAGACGCGCAGCTGTCAACCCATGCGGTTTCCCCCCCCCCCCCCCCGTATTCTTGTACAGGGAAATTGAGTTTTCAGGTCCATACGGCGTACGGCCGTTTCAATACGGGCAACACATTTTTTTGTCTTGTTTTGTGTTTCTCCCTTGTGATGGGACTTTGTAGGATGAACGTTGAGATTTATAAGGTCCGAATTGGCCTGTGGTAAGGCAGGGCACTGATAATAAGCGGTTGACAGATGTTTAAGACGCACCCCAAATTATGCCCGGCCTGTCAAAGTCCGCTGGACATTTTGGTCTCGCACAACAACAACAACAACCGCCCTTCGCCACTTCCAAATTAAAATCGTGGACATTGAGGCCATCACGTGGAAGTGTGGAAGGCTCGCTGCTGGCTTGAGGTCACACGGGACAGACCCAGGTGCCATCATCGGGTTGTCCGAGCTGACTGCCAGACGCACCAGCCGTGGCACGCCCCACTCTGCTGCGCTTTCGTCGGCACACAAAGACAAAGATCCCCCGTGTAGCCTTCACAGACTGTAGGGGCAAGTGCTGTTAGCGCGTTTAACACCTGTGAAGGCCGGCACGGCACACGAGGGGGGTGGGTGACCAGCAACCGCGCCCGGCCGCCGCCGTTTAGTCTCCCACCAGCGGCGACGTCGACACACCGCACCGGGTACCAATTTGATGCTGAGTCGACCTAGGGGAGTCCCGGGCCCGGTTCAGCGCACACACTTCTAGCCTCACCTGCGCACACTCGCGTTTACACACCCAAGTTGATTTTGGTTAACCGGGTGAGAACTCCGGAGACTACTCTGTATGGTCCCACTTATTGTTTAAATTATTTTGCAAAATTTAAAAATGACCCGTGAATTAATCGATTTGGGATTCTTGCGTGGCATTTTTTTTTATTGCTACGCACAAGCACCCTGAAGTTTGCTTGTCACGTGTTTGTGTCTTCACAGGAGCCAAGCCTGCCCAGCATCTCCTGGAGAATGAGCGAATCAGCATTGTCTACCTGCCCGAGAGGACGGGTTCCCCAGGTGTGTGAGGGAGCGGTGGTGCAGCGGTTAGGCTACTCTGCTCTACGAACCCGGGCACACGAGTTCGATTCCCGCTCACGGCCAACACCGGTGACGATTATCTGAAGCGGTCCTGGGCCTCCCCTAGGTCGACTCGGCCTCAAATGAGTACCTGGCGCGATGTGTAAACATCGCCACTGGGGCGTCTGTGAATGTGGCGAGGCGTGGTGCTCGCTCCCTCACCTCGTGTGCCGTGCCAGCCTTTGTTAGGTGTTCGCTGACAGCACTTACCCCAGCAGTGTATTCGGGGTCAGAGTTGTCATTGTTAATAACGCTCATGCTGTGGTGCTATTCTTGTAGCCCTGCAGTTGTTGATGGTGGTACGGCGTGGCTCGCTGCCATTTCGGTTTTTTTGCCTTCTGAAGAAGCTCCCAGTACGTGGAGCGGAAACGTCGGACGTTGTGCCAAACGGCACGCGGTGACGACCGCACTATTGTTGTTGACGTTATGGTTGTTTTGGTTGTTGTTGTTGCTAGTTGGACCCCGCCTGCTGCGCTACGTCAGCAAGGTCCTGCTGCAGGCCGTGCAGCTGGCGTGCACCCTGCTGCTGCACGAACCACGCCCCCAGTGGCTCCTGCTGCAGGTGAAACAGAGCTTTGGATTCCTCCAGTAAAAAAAAAATATTCTGATTCTGAGGTAGGGTTGCGGTCTTGGGTCTCCCCTAGCTCGACTCGGCCTTAAATAAGTACAGTACCTGGTGCGGTGTGCGAACAGCCGAAGCGGGGAGACGCAGGCTGACCACACCACCTCCTCGTGCGCCGTGCCGGCCTTAATAGGTGCTCGCTAACAGCACTTGGACCGGCAGTCGACACAGGTGTGTGTGTGTGTGTGGCGGGGAGAAGGAGGAGGAGGTGGACCTGTGGCACGGAGGCCAGAGTGCCAGGCCGGCACCGCCGAGGGTCTGGGTTCGAATCCGGGTTTAAGCCGCCAGCCCGTGATGAAGCCGGAGTTTGCGATTGCAGCGAGGTTCAAGTCGATTCTTTTTAACCCGGGCGAGAACTCAAAATAGACCCGGCACAGGAGTCCCATTTGCAAGGGTGACCCGGGTCGACCACTGGCGACACGAAAAAAACGTCCCTCGATTTGGCGAAATGAGAATGAAAACGATGGGGTTCACGGTCATGGGACGGACATTACTCTCTGCAGCAGGGCAAGTGGCAGAGTGTAGCACTGCCTCGTGTGTGTCGTATGATTGCCATGCTGTTGCTGCTACCGCATCTGCTACTTCAACTGCTGCGGTGGCGAGATGTTGCAGGAGGACCGTGGGTTCGATCCCAACCCCCGACGCCTGTATATTTGGAGTTTGCATGTTCTCCCCATGGTGGCGTGGATTATTCCACCGGGGTCCTCCGGTTTCTTTTCCTCCACGTTTAGAATCAACATGCGTCTACGAGTAATTTGGCTGCTGCTGTAAACTTCCAGGTGATAAGCCACTTTGTTGAACTATCATTTGCGGCCAGGTCACTTCTGAAAAAAAAGAGCTACGTAGCTCAGTGGGGCTTTACCTGGTAAAATTATAGTTTAGCTTTTAAGTTTAAATAGTTTAGTTTGCGGTATGTGTGTCTGCTGCTGCCGTTTCACGGGTGATATTTTCACCGACGCCGCCCCTCTTCACCCTCTCCCAGAATCCCCCGGGGCTGCCGGCCATGGCGGTGTCGTGGTTCTGCTGCCGCGTGCGTGGTGCCCGCCTTGCCGTCGACTGGCACAACTACGGCTATACCATCATGGGGCTGAGCATGGGGGGGAGCACCCCCTCGTGCGGGTGGCGAGATGGTACGATCTGCTACAAACGCCAAGGAGAAATCGCACGTGGGCCGTGGATTCTTGTTATCGCTTTCCAAAACATGTCCTTGGAAGTATCTTAACTGTCAATAACATCGTTCTTATAATGCGTTAAGCCACACGAGATGACGTCTCATGCAATGACGCCATCGGTTGGCGCAGAAAGACGACGCTTCCTTTAAGCGCTGTTTTGTTTAAACCTATTGATCACTTTTGGCTTGCCCATGCCCCCCCCCCGCCTGCCCATGCCCTCCCCCCCCCCCAGGTACGAGGGCCGTGCGGGGCGGCTGGCCGATGCGCACCTCTGCGTGACCTCCGCAATGCGGCACGACTTGGAGAAGACGTGGGGCGTACGGTGAGTGCCGCTTTCTCACCGCCTCCATCTCACACACGCACACGCACACACGTACCGCGCCACGCGCAACACGTGCCGCACCGCACGGGCCACACATGCCACCTCCATCGCACCACGCACCACGCACCACGCACCACACACGCACCACGCACCACACACGCACCACGCACCACGCACCACGCACCACGCACCACGCACCACGCACCACGCACCACACACCACGTACCACGCACCACACACGCACCACGCACCACGCACCACGAGCGCACGCTGTGACGGCCCCTCCACAACCCGCGTGGCGTGCGGTGCGCAGGGCGGTGGTGCTGCACGACCGCCCTGCGGAGGCCTTCCGGGAGACGGCGCTGCACGAGCAGCACGAGCTGCTCGCCCGCCTGGGCCTGCAGCACGCCGCCTTCGCAGCCTCCTCACAGTAACACACCCACCTCCTCATCCTCCTCACCCACCTCCTCACAGTAACACACTCACCTCCTCATCCTCCTCCTCACAGTAACACACTCACCTCCTCACCCACCTCCTCACAGTAACACACTCACCTCATCCTCCTCACAGTAACACACTCACCTCCTCACCCACCTCCTCACAGTAACACACTCACCTCCTCACCCACCTCACAGTAACACACTCACCTCATCCTCCTCCTCACAGTAACACACTCACCTCCTCACCCACCTCACAGTAACACACTCACCTCCTCCTCCTCCTCACAGTAACACACTCACCTCATCCTCCTCCTCACAGTAACACACTTACCTCCTCCTCCTCACCCACCTCGCTCTCCCACCCCCACCTCCTCCTCCTCCTCCTCACCCACCTCCTCTCCCACCCCAACCTCCTCCACACTCACCTCCTCCTCCTCACCCACCTCGCTCTCCCACCCCAACCTCCTCCACACTCACTTCTTCCTCCTCACCCACCTCGCTCTCCCACCCCAACCTCCTCCACACTCACCTCCTCCTCCTCCTCACCCACCTCGCTCTCCCACCCCAACCTCCTCCACACTCACTCGCCTCCTCCTCACTCTTCTCCTCCGCCTCGCTCCCCTATCCACTCTCCCTCTCACGGTCACGCCAAAACGCAGCGAGGTGGCGCGACGGGGAGCGCACAGCTGGTGCACCGCCGGTCATCTGAGCCAGTCAACGCATTACACCTGGGCCTACCCCGTGACCTCCAGAGAGCCTTCGGCACTTGGACGTGGCCTCAAAGTGCACTCAGCCTGGCACAGGCACCGTGGTGACGTCACCGCGACTTGGTGGCGAGCCGGGTTCGGTTCCCGCTCACGGCCACCAACACCAGTAACAGAAATATGAGCTGGTCCTGGGCCTCCTCTAGGTCGACTTAGCCTCAAATGAGTACCTGGCGCGACGTGTAAACTTCGCCGCTGGGAAGACAAAGGGGGCCGGGTATGGCGTAAAGCCACCCAGCCCCCCGTGCGCCGCGCCAGCTTTCGTAGGTGCTGCTCGAGGACAGCACTTACCCCAACAGTCTGCGAAGGCCATACGGGGGATCTTTGCCTTTGTGAGCCCTTGTGATCCCCCCGCCCCCCGAGGCGCCCCCCACCCACCCCACGTCTTTGATGAGAGCGCCCGGGCGGCCCTAACGAGTGCTGGCCCCCCGCTCGCCGCCGTGACTCACCCGCTCGTTATCCGTCCTCGCCAACCCCAGACACCTTTGCTCGCGATCAATCATTCAGTGGTGACGGGCGCGGCGTGTGGTGAGTGGTGACCGTGGTGACTGTGGTGAGTGGTGACTGTGGTGAGTGGTGACCGTGGTGACTGTGGTGAGTGGTGACTGTGGTGAGTGGTGACTGTGGTGACTGTGGTGACCGTGGTGAGTGGTGACTGTGGCGGCTGGTGAGTGGTGACTGTGGTGAGTGGTGACCGTGGTGAGTGGTGACCGTGGTGAGTGGTGACCGTGGTGAGTGGTGACCGTGGTGAGTGGTGACTGTGGCGAGTGGTGAGTGGTGACTGTAGCAGGTGGTGAGTGGTGACTGGAACGTGGTGAGTGGTGACTGTGGTGGCTGGTGAGTGGTGACCGGCTGTTGTGTGCATGGCAGGATCCGGAGTGAGCCTGGCGTGGAGCAGACTGCACTCACCGAACGCAGCGTGGCCGGCACGCGGCGCCTCCCTGACGGCCCGGCGCTCCTCGTTAGCAGCACCAGCTGGACCGGCACGTACCACGCTCGGCCTGGCCACGCCAGCCCAATCCTAGCCACGCCAGCCCAATCCTAGCCACGCCAGGCCCGGTCGACCACCGCTGTCGTGTAGACACATGCTCTCGACCACACAAGCCAATGCTGCTAACCACACGAGCCAGGGTTAGGTGCTGGCAAACAACCCTTGCCCCAACAGTCTGTGAAGGCGATACGGTGGGGGGAAGGCAGGGGGAGATCTTTGTGTTGAGCCTGAACGTTTTTCATGCCGATTTCGCCGCTGTTGGCGTCATCGTCGCGAGACCGACGACGGGGTTGGGGTCTCTCTCGCCGGGCAGGGCACCGCGCCCGCCACCTGCGGGGGGGTGGGGGGGGGGGAACACCGTGCGGTGACCATCGACGCTAAGCGAGGGTTGAGCCTGGACAGCGCTTGGATGGGCGGCCACCGTGCGTCCGCGCCAGGTCGTCGTAGGCGGCTGCTGGGGCTGGGCCACGCGGTTGTCCCGGGTAGGCCGGTGCGGCAACGCCTGTTGTTGTAGTGCACTTCTACGCTCCCGCGTCTCTGTTCTCTACTTTCGTCAACCCGCGCCGACCAACGTGGTCAAGTACGGTCAAATAACCTCCACCACAACCCCCCGCACAGCATGGGAAGTAGGGCCATCAGCCAGAAGTTGATATGAAGCCAAAGATCCCCCGTATAGCTTTAACAGACTGTTGGGGCAAGTGCTGTTAGCGAGCACCT